ACTTTCCCCCCTCAAAATGAGTGATATAAAAACTGGTAAATACAGGGGTGCCTGGGGGACTCAGCCGGTTAAGCATCCTACTCTTGATTTCCGCTCAGGTCATGTTCTCATGGTTCATGAGATCAGGCTGCACATCGGGCTGTGTGCTGGCAGTGCGGAGCCTGCTTGGGATTTTCTCCCCCTCTCTCTGCCCTGCCCCTGCTCATGGACTTCTCGCTCTCAAAATAAATAAATAATAAAAACATTTAAAAAAACAAAAACAAAAGAAGCTTACAAAAAAAACTGGTAAATACAAATGAAGTCTGCGGTTTAGTTAAGCGTTGTACCAATATCAGTTTCCTGGTTTTGATAATGTACCATGGTTATATAAGTTACCGTCAGTGGAAAAGCATATGTGAGAACTCTCAGTACAGTTTTTATAGCTTCTTGTGAATCTTGAACAATTTCAAAATAAGCCTAAAAACAAAACAAGGGAATTGAGAAAAGAGGGTAGAAATAGCAGCTATGGCTTTAGGTCCCTGTATTCCAGTATTGAGACTTAGATCTTTCAGAGAGACTGGTATGGGAGTCATCTTTGGCTTTGGGGCTTTATGGCTGCTGGTTGTAAATGAGGCTCAAACAGATGACTGGCTTCAATAACACAGGATGAGTGGACTTCCAGTTAAGTACAGCAGATTGACCCTGAGGTTTTTCTTCTAAGAATACATGGAAATGATGGGGCGCCTGGGTGGCTCAGTCGGTTGAGCATCCAACTTTGGCTCAGGTCATGATCTCACAGCTCATGAGTTCGAGCCCCGCGTCGGGCTCTGTGCTGACAGCTCAGAGTCTGGAGCCTGCTTCGGATTCTGTGTCTCCTTCTCTCTCTGCTCCTAACCCACTCGCATTCTGTCTCGGTCTTTCTCAAAAATAAATAAACATTAAAAAAAAAAAAAAAAGAGAGAATACATTGAAATGATAGCAAAGGAAGGAAAAGAAAAAGAGGAGAGGAAAGGAGGGTGGGTGGAAGCCATAAATTCATGGTAGAAAGGACTGAAAAAAGAGCAGTTGATGAACAGCCTAGAAAAATTTGGAGAAGTGGTAGCTGCCTTAAGAAAACTTAAAGACTCTGCAGTGGGAGTACTGATGAGAGCTGAGCCATTCACCTCAAAGAACCTGAGAGGCTGGAGAGCAGGCCCACAGAAGGTGGGGATGGAGGGGACACCCAGGGCCAGAAAAGGAGTTACACAAGGTGGTTAAACTGACAGTTTTTCTTTCCTACCTGAACCACCACTACTACTAGAAGCTCTCTCTGCCTGGCAGACTCGAGATTTAATCTCAGGGCATACTGAATCAGAGGAGGTCTCGACCTGGAAATAACAGCAGAAGGTGGAGGGAATAAACCTTAGAGAGCAGGAATTCAGTAAAAATCAACTCAGTAAACTGTGAAATTCCCAACCCAGTCACCTTCCTGATGGGTGGGGAAAGCCAGCCACCTGGCCATTGCCTCTTCCCTTACCCCTGATAGGAAATAAGAAACTTGTCTAGAGAGACTCAGTGGACCCTGGTTACTGTCACATGGCCAGTTTGTCTATAGCTGACTTGTCCAGTTACTCTGAATGAAGCCTACTAGTCAACAACAACCCTAGTGTACACACCCACACCCAAAAGCTTCCAGCCAGCATTTTAGGACTTTACTCTTAAATATGAACAGGCTAGGGGCGCCTGGGTGGCTCAGTCGGTTAAGCATCCGACTTCAGCTCAGGTCATGATCTCACAGTCCGTGAGTTCGAGCCCCACATTGGGCTCTGTGCTGACGGCTCAGAGCCTGGAGCCTGCTTTGGATTCTGTGTCTCCCTCTCTCTCTGACCCTCCCCCATTCATGCTCTGTCTTTCTCTGTCTCAAAAATAAATAAACATTAAAAAAAATTAAAAAAAAAATTTCTAAATATGAACAGGCTATCAGGGATTGCCAGATGTCTGAGGAAAGCCTCCAACACAAAAGACAGATGGATGCCAAACAATGAAAAGAAATAATTAGGAGATAATATGGGGAACTGGAAGAAAATAACAAAAAAATTATGATTTATTCCGATTAGAGATACATCATTCACAAAACAAGAACTGGATACTTTTAAAAAGGGATAATTAAAAAAAAAAAAAAACCTGCAGAGCCCAAATTTAAAATATGATATCAAAAGTTTTAAAAAACATAATAGAAGACTTGGAATGTGAAGTTGATATCTGTCAGAGATGGGGGAACAAAAAGTGGAAAATCAAAGAAAAAAGGTAAAATGATTAGATAATAAATTCAGGGTGTGTAAAATCCTTATCAGAATTCCAGAAAGTAGGGAGAGACAAAAAACAAAACAGGAACATTTTTCAGACCTAATGGGCATAACTTTCTATATGGATAGGGTCTGTTGAATGCCCAGTAAAATTAATAAGTACCCATACTAAGACCATTATGTAGTACACAGGGATAAAGAGAAGTCTTCCAGAAATAAGCACCCCCAACTATGTCCTATGCAAAGGAAGAAGAAATGACGGCTGACTTCTCAGTAGCAAAACTAGATGTTAAAAATTGTGGAGCAGTGTCTTTAACATTCTAAAGGAAAATCACTTTTGCTTTGTCATACTCTAGCCAGCAAAATATCAATCAAATGTCAAGGTAAAGATAATGTCAGACACATGGTGACTCAAATTTATCTATCATGCATCATTCCTTAGGTTGTTCTTGGAGAATGATCTTCAGCAAATGGGAATAATGAAAGAGGAAGGTGTGGAGTCCAGTTAATGAGAGCTCTAACACAGGGGATTAGAAAAGGACATGCAAGGGTAGCAGCGTGGCAGGGACAGTCAGGCCAGACTGAGCAAGAGGACGGAGTCCTTGGAGGAAGTTCAGGGGAAAAATGGAATGGAAGATTAGCTGACAACTTTGTGCATTTGAAAAATAATATTGATAGACTTCTGCTAGATGGGATGGAGCATGTGGAAAAATTTAAGGTAGATTCATGGAAAACTAAGCCGGGGAGGGGTGGTGTGTGTGGAGGGTGATGAGATGATTGTTAATCCCAGGAGAAACAAAGACTGTACCAAGAAAGGAACATAATCCCTAGTACATTCCTTGCATTGTAGTTACCGATATTTACAAAGTCATAATAAACCCTCTCAACTTACCAGCAAATTGCCATTTAATTATATAGGAAGGATTGGGGTAGGGAAAGTGGAGTGATATGGAGAGCTGAGCCCTTATCTAGGGTAGTAGAAAGCCAGTCATTATTGTCCAAAATTGAGAAATGAAGAATATTATCCAAAACTATGGCAATGAATATAAGAATAACAACGTAGTTGAAAGTGCTCTTAGGAGTAAGTTGAAGTTTAGGGAAAGGTTGAACCAAGGGTTGTTTTTCATGATAAGCCTTTATCATTGTTTGATAAAATAAAAGTTATTATGTTCTCTCTGTACTGGTTTATAAAGGAGAACCTTTTATCCTGAAGAGCATGTGTATCAAGTATCTGCCATTTGAATGTTGTATGTTTTTCATTCTTTTTATTGCCTGGTCTTGTACAAATAGGGTTCACATTTGGGGAGAGGAGGTAAGGAGACTTGAGTGGTCCACCCGGAGTGACTAATGCTGTGAAGCTCATTATTTGTAGATCGAACAAATACATTCAGTCACCGTGTATTCTTAGTCAAGAAGTCAGAAACCCATAGGAATGATCTTTTGTCTGTACTTCAGATTTAGGATAATCTAAGTTTAGGTCAACATTCCAAATAATTGTCTCTTATACTTAGCATTTGTCTCTATGTTTGTGACTTTCTAGTGATATAAGAATAACACTTTTAAAAATGATGGGGCGCCTGGGTGGCGCAGTCGGTTGAGCGTCCGACTTCAGCCAGGTCACGATCTCGCGGTCCGTGGGTTCGAGCCCCGCGTCGGGCTCTGGGCTGATGGCTCGGAGCCTGGAGCCTGTTTCCGATTCTGTGTCTCCCTCTCTCTCTCTGCCCCTCCCCTGTTCACGCTCTGTCTCTCTCTGTCCCAAAAATAAATAAACGTTGAAAAAAAAAATTAAAAAAAATAAATAAATAAAAATGAAAACCATGACATTTGCAGAGATATGGCATCATGAAATCTATGAGAGGGAAACCATGTCTTTCCATCTACTATTGTGTGCACAGGACCTACCTACCACTCGGTGGTTACTCCATAAGAACTTAATGAATAAACTAATCACTAGGAAAAAAAATGCCAGTGACCACCTGGACAGAAGGTCGCAGACTGGCCTGTGTCCTAGGGCCATCAGCAACACCCACCCTCATACCCTCTCCTGGTTATTAAGCATAGTAAAAACAAGATCTCTTAGAAATGTCTGTTCAGGGGCACCTGGGTGACTCAGTTAAGCATCCAGCTTTGGCTCATGTCATGATCTCATGGTTCGTGGGTTCAACACAGGCTGACAGCTCAGCCTGGAGCCTGCTTCGGATTCTGTGTCTCCCTCTCTGTGCCCCTCCCATATTCGTGCTCTGTCTCTGTCTCTCAAAAATAAATAAACGTTAATTAAAAAAAAAAAAAAGAAAGACATGTCTGTTCAATTGATAACCAAAACATTGCTTATATAGTTATAAGGTTCCAATCATGCACACCTGTTTTTAACATTAGCGTGACAACCATTAACCTACTTAAACCCCACTGGGAGCATCAGCTTCTGGGCCTGTAACTCCTGTGGGGTATGCTTTGGAGGTATGCATGTCGGCTACTTGCTCCATTTATATTAGGTTCTAGGCAGCCCTTGGGCAACTGGGAAACTGCCAGGATCACATGTGTCTTGCCAGTACGAGTGCCCTGTTCCATCAGTAAAGAAGTATGTGCTCTTCATTATTTTAAAGTAAACATTCATGGCTTTGTAGACGTACTGTCGAGCATACACAGGCATCCATGGCTATGTAGTGACAAAGTCTAAAGATTATTTGATCTACTGTTTGCTTATCTTATTAATTTGTTTGTTTGTTTGTTTGTCAGAATGTTATGGAACAGTTCAATCCTGGGCTACGAAATTTAATAAACCTAGGAAAAAATTATGAAAAAGCTGTTAATGGTAAGTGTGTTTTCTAAATTTATAAATATAGTGCACATATAAAAACCATTCAGTAAATATTTTACTTAATTATTTTTATGTGGTTAATAGTGAATTTTTGAAATATCTTGAAGTTAAAAACAATACTTAGGTTAATTCTATGGAAGTTTGCAATGATAGGATATTAGTGTATTTGAAATGAATAAATTGAATCATTGGCTATTCTAAGTGATGTATTTCAATTACCGGATCATGGTTTTTGACCGGACTCAATCTTTTACATCATTGCCATAAACATGTTTTCCACTTTGCAAACCAAATTCGTCGTGAACTAATAACATATATTAAATGTGTGCTTAAAATATTTGTTAGTGTCTTGCAGCAGAAGAATTACTCTCTTTTTATTTATGTAGAACACTTTCTTGCCTTTGGGTGTATAACTTCTGATAGTGATATGAGAAAAGTTTTAGCCTGAACGGAAAAACATCTGAGTTAAAGGTTGAAGTTAAAATTTCCATTTCCAAAAGAGTGCTTCCTTTAAAATGAATTCAGGCGTTGGCTTTTGTCTCTCTTTGTGAACTGGAGTTGTTTGCTAGTTTCAAGAGGTTTCATTGGAGGAAGCTGACCTGCATCTACACATGCATTTCCCTACTAAGAGGTGAATGTTATCAGTGATCACCTTAAAAACTTGAGATGCTGATAATCACTAGATTTTAACACAGTCACAATAATTCTCCCTATGTAACAAGTGTCACCCCAAAAATATTCAGACACCATTTTCACCCTCTACCTTAATTCACTAAAACCACCATGTAACATAAGTAGAAAACTTAGTTTCCAATGGTTCAGATCAAGTTCTGGGTCTTTTATGTATTTCTCATTTCCTTCTTTCACCATGTCACACCTTTGGCTGCTCCCTCTTGAGGTTTTGAAAATAAATCTGTGACCTCATATACCCTTAGCATAAGCATGCCCCAGGAAGAGGGGGTATGGTAGCTAGAGTTTGGATGACAGGTGCCCAATTGTCATAATCATGGGAAAGTAAACTACTTATTTACTTTCTTCTGGATCTCTGTGCTGTTTGCCAGACATTTTCACTGTTGGGAAACCATCCCTCACCCCCAGAGAAGTGTCAGCGACCTCTGTAGGTGACCCCTCACCTCCCTTATCAAAGAGCAGGAGACTGGTTTTAGAATTCTTGCACAGCTGACTCTCCCTCCATGACTGCTTAGTCACAAGGCCACAAAGTCATTGCTCTTTAGATGCCCCTGTGAAGGAAGTCACAATGACCTGCGATGGTTTTTTTTCTTTCTAGCACTTGGTGCCTCTCCGAGGCAGTTTTACAAGGTGACTCAGGGAGCTGCCAGCAGCTTAGTCTCTTGCTAAATAAGGCTTCTCCCCAAAGGGACTATTTTGCACTTTTAAAGTATTTCCAGAATTTCTGCAGGCCATCTGTTTTTTACTGAAGCCATCGAGAAATTGAGATAAATTTGTAAAGTCCTCGGTAAGAATTTGTAGTATAGTTGAGGATGCCAGATGTGCAGTCACCACTTAGGTCATAAGTCAGGACAACATTCACAGCTAACAAAGAGCATGGAAAGAGCAGTGTCACAGGAATTTGAGCAGTGAAGTTGGTGGGGAACAGAGCAGGCGGGAGGCCTTGTAGGAGCGGTGCAAGCTGACACATGTTAGGTTTCAGGCAGAAAAGACAGCATCCAAGCCAAAATCTGAGGCCCAGACTGGCATGAGTGAGAAGCTGTTGGGGAATAGTAAAACACAAGGTGGAATGGGGTCAGATTGTTAATGCATGTGAATGCAGCATCAGTTATCTATAGCCACATAACAAAGTCTCCCTAAACTTGGTGGCTTAAGGCAGCAATAGTTTATTATTTCTTAAGGTCCTGTAAAGGCAGTGCAGTTCTCTGGACCCCTGGGGCTCAGTCCTACAATTGCAGTCAGCTGGGGGCTGGGCTCCCTCTTTCTGGCATAGCAGACTTCCAAGAGTGCAAATCCCTGTGGGAGTTATGCTTGCTGGTACCCCATTGGCCAAAGCAAGTCACATGACCAAGCCCCCAATCAATGTATAGGGGACTACAAAAGTTGGGAATTCTGGGAGGTGTGGTTTATCCAAGGCGATTTCTGTAAAATCTGTCATGAACTCTGGAGTGTGGGCTTACACTATGGGCAGTCGAGGCCATGAAGGTTCTTGAGCACTCCTGTAACCTAATGAAATCATACTTTAAGGGAAAATTATCTGGTAGCAGTTTGTAGATTAGATTGATGAAGTAGTTGGTCAACCACTAAAATAGGACAAATATGCTTCGTTCCTTAAAACAAGTGATAGAAAATCTCCTAATGTATTCACAAAGGGGGGATGGCAAAATTATGAGAATAGTATTCTTTATTAAGTTCTGGATAAATTATATAGTTTTTAAAGTTAATTCAACTTTATTATTAAAGAATATTTTACCATTCTGAGGTTAAATAGTTTTAAACATAAGTCAACAGTTAACAAAAAATTTCAATTTCACGTGTGGATGCAAACCGAAAATTTTTTTTATGCATTGTGCATATATGCCATTCTCCCACTGATCTGCTTTTCAGCTTATCAGTATCGTACAACTTAAAATCTTCTTATTAAAAGTTGCACCTATTAACTTGCCAGTTTATTGGCTACAAACCTTGTTTTTAGGTAGAGTCCTCTCTTTTTCAGTTCTAGCTGAGACCAAAGAGTCGTGAAAAGCACGGTGATTTAGAACTGAGGAAGTAAACTACCTTAGTTGGAGTTATGTGCACTGCCTCTGATTTGCCATTGACCTTGGGCACGTCCCAGCATATCTTCACTCCACTCTCCTTCATGAAACAGGGTGATAACATCACTGACCCATGTCTTAATATTCTTGGATAGGTAAACTTAAGTAAGGCTTGGAAAGTCCATATAAATGCTACTTGTTATTGTTCTTTTTTACTATTATACTTTAAGGTTATCCTCAGTCTTATGAAATAACTGTATAATAGAGCGTTACATTTCTTAAACTTGTATACATATTAGTAAAAGCTGTAACTTTTACATTTTTTTTCAACTCTACAAGAAATAGATGAATTTGCCATGAAAATGCTACTTTTTTGGCCAGTAATATCCTCAGCTAGACTTGTACATAATTTGTTCTGTGGCACCCCCTACCTTCTCCCCCCTACTTTTTAATGCTTGAGATATCTTTTTCAATCCACTGTTGTAAAACAATACCCATTATAAATTGGGGCAAAGCACTTGGTATGGCCTCTGGTTTTCTTCGCAGTAAAAAGGAAAGGAATCTTAGAGATTCCTAAGGGCTCTTTTAGTTCTAAAATTTTGTATTCTTCAGAGTTAGTCTTTGAGTAAAGCAAAATAAATTATTTTCTTCAAAACCACACTAAATAGGCTAGGTGTTGCTAAAAAGCTTGCTTGTTGTACACTATCAGTCTTACCAAACCTAGCTTGTTGGAAAGTGAAGGAAGGAATCCATATTAGCAGCTTCCATGCTTGTGCTCTTAGGGCATTTTATAGATGACCCTCCTTTGTTTCAGAAAGGATAGTGACCTTGCCCAGGGAGGTCGTGTCATTAGAAGTAAAGGCAGAATGCAGACCCAGGTCTGTCTTGCCCCTGACTCCCTTTCCTAAAGAAAAAGAAAGGAAGGAAAAAGAAAAATCAAAAACAGATTTCTACACCTTATAATTTAGTCTTCAGAATCAATTTGAAAAGAGAAATGCTATTTTTAAGAGAAATAGAATCCAATTGATATAGCAATAGAAGTTTTCCTTGTTTCTGCCAAAAAGGTAGTGGGGAGATGATAGAACATTCAATTATTTTTCAGAGAATTCTGTTGTGTTTTTGGAGTGATTAAAATAATGTATTTTAAATTTCATACCTTTCCCCCCTAACAACAATTATTTTATTGTTTGTGGCTCAGAATAAGTTTTTCAATAGAAAAGTAAAAGTGCCATTGAAAGGCCAGGTTCCTGGGCCACCCCATGCAAGTTCTTTCAACTAATAATGTTGCAGACCTGTGTAGCTGTAGAATAACCAGCTGAGAAAAGCTCTCTTGCTGGAGCGGATATGTTTCCAGCCCTAATTTGATGTTGGAAACATATCCCCTCTGGAACTGGCATCAGAAGGCAGGGCCTTTTCTGGATTCAGCTATGCCAGGGCTGGTCCAAGGTGAGGATCCTGTGGAGCTTTCCATTTGGCGGGGGCCTCCGAAAGTGCAGTGGAGGGACGTCACAGCTATCAGGCACAAGCCCTGCCCTCCGAGAGCCACCCTTGGCACAGCCCAAACCTTTCTGCACCCAGAAGGGACTGAGGGATATTTGGAAGCAAACCTCCATGCACTTCCTCTTTTCCTTGTGTAAGTGATGATTTTTGTGTGTCACCTTCCCTGTCTAGCTATGATCCTTGCGGGAAAAGCCTACTACGATGGAGTGGCCAAGATTGGTGAGATTGCCACCGGGTCCCCTGTGTCAACAGAGCTGGGTGAGCTGACTGTCATTATATACAAACACAAGTTGAGCTGGTTCATCCTGTGAGCCTTTCATCCTGTGAGCCCTCGTAAGAATACACAAGGTGGCCCAAATCCAGAATAGTAAGAAGGGCTACCCCAGTACTCCCGTGTGTTGTTCACTTCTGGAATGATGGAGTTCGCTGTAGTCTGCTGAAAGTGGAGGCTTAGTTAGAAGGCAGGCCAAGGCCAGTGGCTGACCTCCCTGCTCCCTAGGAACTGGGCTTCTGCCTCTAAACTTGGGCCCTAGCCCTTCCCCTCGGATCCCTGGAGCATGAAACCCAGGGAGCTTTGACCTACATTCTTAACTGAAGGAGATGGGCACGGCGGGCCTCCCCACTCTGGCAGGAAAGTTTCCTGTGACTCACCTAGCAGAAAGCAGACTCCTTCACGTCCTGCTCTTGGCTCTCGCTGCTTCCACAGTTGCTCTCAGTTGTGATTTTTCCGGTTTTGCTGGTATGAATTGATCTCCTGTGCACACTCGGAGGGCAGCCACACCCTCAGCAGTGCCAGCTGCAGAGGGAATCTGGGTTTCTGTTTACAGAGTCCGTTCACTGCGTCCTCTCCTAAGGGTGGAACAGTCGCTGTTTTTCCTTTTCTTAATAGCCCCACACATAACCATTATTTTTAAAATTTGTTGATTCTTTTTTTTTACAAAGGATAAGATTTCTGGTTTCAAAATGCTTGTTATGATTTGAAAGGTTCAGAAAAGCAGAGGAAAATATTGGTAAAGTGTGTGTATTTAAAAGTGTGTTTCTATGGAAAGGGGAGGCGGAGGCGGGGGCTGCATGTAGAACATATATTTTAGGGTTAAAATAATTCACATCATTTCTATATAAAGTGTCTTAAGGGTTTTCAAGATGGCTTGGAGAACTCTTACCTGACCCATAAAAGCGGAAGAACAAATTCCAGGTGTGATAACAGTGCTGGGGGTGTGGGCTGGGTTACAGGGTATGAAGTGGATCTGGGCACCCAGTAACATTCTCTGACAACTTCCGTTCTTGAAGAGTTTGTAAAGAGTCTTGAAACCTAAGCCTGAAGTGATGTCGTGTGATGATGAAGTTCGTGCTGCTCTATTTAATAGAATCAGTTACAGGCAGAAATTTTTCAAAGCCCTGACGTGTGCTTTGTTGGTGGCATAACTTGTGCGTGTTCTGGTAAGGTAGGAACTACAGAAACTCTGTCTTCAACAGAGTCAGTTTCATAAAATACACAGTGCGTTGTGCAGTCAGAAGCAGATAGTAAAACTTAGGACATTTGAGGGATGATGGTGATGATTAGAGGGTTCCAAAAATAGGACTAAATTAAAAAGACACATCCTATTTGTGTCAGGCCCAAAGGGAAAATGTGTGACCCTTACATTAAACTATATGGTGCTGATTCACCGTCATTCAGTTTGCCTTTTTAATGTTTTATGGTTCTTGCCACTGTTTAAATAAGATTTCTGTTCCACACCTTACTTTATTCAGCTGCGAGTTCATAATGTTGAATCAGCTATTTCCACAGCAACCCTGTTGTTGCAAACACAGGCTGAAACCTTCTTCAGTTTCAATAAGGAAAATATGTTGCAGTGGTGAAATTTTCTTTCATGTGGATATGTATTTGATTCAGAGGGAATGGAAATAACTTCTGTGTTTTATTTTTGTCTCAAGTTGTCTTTTTGCTTATATTCACCATCTCATATAGTTAGTAATTTTCTGCTCATCTACAGCAATTTCATGGTAAAGTACTACCCTAGCAAGAGTTGCTTTTGGAGGCCTAATACTGACTTCTTGTGATTTGCTTAGTTTTTCATTTTGTTAAAGTTTAGACTAAAATATTGCCCTATATCTGTTTAAATTCTCTGTTTGAAAGAGTAATGAACAGTTCACAGAAAAAAGAGACCAAAAGTGGATTATATTTTCCTCATTTTTCAAGAAGGCTTGTCTTATTGCTGACTTTTGGTGTTGGTATTCATAACTTTATTACGAAACATTTATAAATTCCATCTGATAAAACTGAAGGGGTGTTTCATATGTGAAGATCATGAATCATTTCAGAATTTTCATTCCTTTCCCCCTTTCCCCTGATCTTCCCTCTCCCTCCACCTCCAAATCCTATAGTTTAAAATCTTTCAATTTAGGGACACCTGGGTAGCTCAGTCAGTTAAGCATCCGACTTCAGCGCAGGTCATGACCTCATGGCTCGTGAGTTCGAGCCCCACATTGGACTCTCTGCTGTCAGTGCAAAGCCCACTTCGGGATCCTCGGTCTCCCTCTCTCTGCCCCTCCCCTGTTCACTCGCTGTCAAAAAGAAATAAACATTTAAAAATAAGTAAATAAATAGGGGTACCTGGGTGGCTCAGTCAGTTGAGCATCAAATTCAGCTCAGGTCATGATCTCACGGTTTGTGAGTTCAAGCCCCACATGGGACTCGCTGCTGTCAGCACAGAGCC